TCTGATATACTAAACAATCTCCAATGATTCTGAACGAATTGCAATAGAATGGTTTGGATAAAGGATGCGGATGGAGCAGTATGAAGAATATCAAGACTTAAGCGAATACGCAGACCAAAACTTATCTATCTACTCGAACCCAGTCATCCACAAGACAATTAGATTTTTGTGGTTTTGTAAGAAAAATGTTTCAACCAAAAGACAGATCTGAAGAGTGCATTCGACATAGAATAGAAATGTTTTTAAAAAAATTGACGTGGAGAATTGCGCTTACACCAAATAAAACTAATGAAGAACACCATAAATTTTATTTAGATTACGAAGACACAACAAATAGCAAGCCGAAATACACTTAGCTTACAGTTACACACAATAATAAAATGGTTTGAATGCCACAGAAGCAATAATAGAATAATCATGTAAGTGGGCCATTACTCTGATAATGAGATTATTGACCTAAAATAAAGCATAAAACAAGACGTCGATGGTTTTCTCAAAGTGTATACATATAATTATAGTAATAAATTGGTATGTTGAGCTATGTTATTCTCCATATTTCGATCGTTCCCCTATCACTAATCTGGACGATGGGATTGCTCTTCTAGTAATTTTGAGATAATGTGCGTATATCTCTATATCAAAATATGCAATTATTGTTCTACTGAGTGCTTTCGAAAGTCAGTAATATAAGACGAATAATTCAATGAATTCAAAAGAAGCTCAGCTATTGATACATCTCTTGAGTTGTTGACTTCGTATTCAACGTTCCATGAACTATTTTTTCAGCTTCTCGTTCGACGAGATTGAGGACACGACACATCCGATGGATCGAACCTTGTAAATCGCTGCTAAATATTTGCTAGTTTCTTATAAGATTTAGGTCCTTTTAGCTCTACCCGAGTATATCAGCAATGATAACTGAATATCTTGACAAATCTTATTTTTCGCTAAAGATTCCTGTGTTGCATCCCAACATCTAATCCTAGCTTTGCAACAAAGAAAACGTCATGACTGATTGAGTCTTTGAATCTTCAGTACTTGGTATTCCGAATACAGATTAGATCATCAGAATATTATCTCTGATAGAGTTTCATGATTTTTTGGAATCACTTTCCAAAACTCACTCGTTTTCAGGTTTTGGAGCACAAAAAATAATTCTGGAAAAATATACATAACAAGTTAGCTCCCGTTCAAATTCTCTCAGAAAGAAGCAACAAAAGTTTTATATCTGAAGACGATGTTTGTTTTGAACGAGTGAAGTTAGGTATCTGCTTGTGAACAATGTTCACTCCCATTTTTACTACTAATGATGAAAGTTCTGATAAGTACTTGGGTATTTTAAAAACCTGCTGTGAATTTGATATGAGCTCATAGCTTTTTCTTGTAGAATATTGATTTCGCTTTGATTACTTTTGCTTCTATACCCTATGCAATACATCAATCTTATCTTCACAAGAACTCAAGCATTATGAAAACTTGAATAGAATGCTTAACATTAATGTTATCTTGTCATGCTCAAGTTGTTAAGCTGACTACATGAGAGCACGGTATTAATAGAAAGAACGTAGGTTCTTTACTGAAAGCTACTAAAAGATGTCAACCAGTTGATTTATCCAACTAATTATTATAACATGAAACACGAACGGTCAATTTGATATTATGCATCAAGTCTACTACTGTGACTTGTCCTAATAAGCTCTGTGACTAACAAACTCTCCAAGCTGTACAAAAAAGCTATGTCTTTAGATCATCTCAATATGTCAGAAATTTCACGCTGTAAATTATAAAAGGTGAAGGCAATAAAGCTAAATTGACCATGAACTCACCCTTAAAAGATACGATGCCAGTAAGTTTGTATCAGAATTCGTTGTTTCCGTATAAATGCCAAAAATTCTTCCTTGTACAGTTTCGATGGAATGACAAACACAATGAAGGTGATCATCGGTGGAATAAATGAAATAAAGTATCCAGCAAGATAAATCCATGACTCGTGAGATGATTTCATGCACCCTGATACAAATGAAATGAACAAACGTGGAGAAATAAGAATGGCCAATACTACTGGAGCAATCAGAATATGCTTGTGCTGTCGAAATTGATTACGCAAATGCTCTTCGTAACTCTGGTAATTTTGAATAGTTGCCCGATGACGAGCAGCTGTAGTAATAATGACCAGAGCTGATATCACATTGATGATGAATGGGACAGAAAAATGAATAGATTGAATCATTCGATTGAAGACTTGAACATTAGATGGATAAGTGACAATACACCAGATTCGTTGCTCATCATTGTCATTATCGTCTATCAGATGTCGATGAATAGGATCATGAACAGCAGTACCGATTGTGAACACGAGAACAGCGAGAATCATCAGTTTAGCTACTTTTTTGCTCTTTTCCTTGTTAAAGCTTATTCCTTTGATAATGGTAATAGCTCTTTCCATGGCCACGCATGCATTGAACCATTGATCCGTATGAAGTGAAATTTGAAGAAGAAAATCGATCGATTTGCATTGAAAATGAAGAAATGATCGATTGACAATCAGTCCCATCTGTGTTCGAACAAGAATTCCGAATTTCAATGCAAGCAAAGCCATCGTCAAGAGCGTAGTAATTGATGATCCGAACAAGTAGAAACCACATCCAACTTCTTGTAACTTCTTGTTATGAAATGTAGTCACAGAAAAAATACCATTGATGAAACCTATCATGGTTATCACTACAGTCAATGCCACACTCAATTGTACAGTCGTCGGCTGATGTGCAAGACTCACATAAGGTAGAACATGATAGCCCAATATGGCATCGAGCGAAAGACCAAAACCACTCGTACTAAATTGACATTTTTTGCCATAGAAACATGTGGGACATACACATACTGATGTTTGAGCACAGTTGGGACTATCTTGAAAGCAAGGAGCTCCATTTTCACAGCCACTTTGACCCGAACAATCGAATTTCATATCGTGTTCGAACTCGAAACAATTAGCCAAATGTTGATCACCATAGTCTTGGCACAAACAAAGAATATCATCATAGAAACAGGATAGATGGTATGAACGTCTTTGTTGACATGGTAAATGATAGTATTTAATACGACGAAGAAGATGCAATTCCACTATGGTCTCATTAAACACTTCACTGATGTGCTTGCATCGATCTGAGAGATGGATCGTCTTGCTGATGATTATAGATCGATTATATGCTTGTTGAACAACAGCCAAGTAGTAGTTTTTGTCGAAAAACTCAATGAAGACAACGTGAAAAGGGTATGGCCAGTAGACAATGGCTGCATCCTGATTGACTGGAATCGTTTTGAAGATCGTTGCACGTTCAGGTGGATCATCGTTCATTACTCGAATAAAATGAATAAGCATCGATTGTGGTAGAGTAATATCAGGATGAAATGAGATTCTGATTTTTGTTTCAGCAATCTCACATTTCTCACCAGTAAATCCTTTTGGACAGATACATGTGTACTTCTTCTTGTATTGAACGTATGCATGTTGAGGAATGCACTGGCCACCATTTTTACATGCAATATTTTGGTCGAGTTGACACACTGGATTAGTGAGAAGACATCGTGATCCGAATCGATCAATCGGACAAACACATATCGATCGATTACTAGCCGCTACACCAATACATTGAGAATCAGATGAACATGTACAACTATGCGGAATCGTGCAAAAACGTCCAGACCATCCTTGATGACATCGACAGAAAGTAGTTGTAGTCAATGTATTGATATATTTGGTGCATTGACCGTGAACACATCGATAATCTGAACAGCTTTCCAAGGTATTTCGACTATGTGAAATGTTTAGTTGAACAGCTAGACGATTTACGGGCAGAAAAGGAAAAGTAATTGATAGAAGAAAGCTTTCTCGATAAACTAATGAAATCTTCTCATAGATATCAATATGGACTGAATAGACTTTCGAGTCATTTTTCGGTCGAGTTGAATATAGTAGGTAGACATTGAATTTTCTTTGACAATCACGCATCGACAAATATGTCAGTTGTTCAAAGGAATGAACGGTACGTTCGTCACTATCATCAATGAGTGAAACAACTAGAGCTAAAGGTGTTCGCCAAACGTCTGACAACGATCGAAATTGCATGGTGAGACTCACTCGCTGGTTCTGGTATTGACACGAGTCGCCATAAAAACTAGGTGGACAAAGACATGTAATTGTTGTTAAGTTCTTACTCCTGTCCAACCAAACTCGTACAGGAAGACCGCGATGACAACGCTGCTCACGATGCTGAGTATTTGATGAACGTGAAATAGTTCTTCTTTCATTTGATCGTGTTATGGAGTCAGCTGAATTTTCAATTTTACCAAGTGAAAAATGTACAGTCGACCGTTTGTGCGTATCGTCAGGACGTTCACAGAAAAATCTCTCAACATCAGAACGTACTGAGAAATACATATCGTGACAAATGCTATCAAATAAAGTTAGATTCCGGTTGTTATCACAAAATTCTTCATCTTCATTGTTCACACACTGCATATTGTCATTGCACAAGTCTCTGATTAGAACACATGGCGTTGTATAGAAACTCACACAGTAAAAACTTCTTCTCTCAGGAAATTGGTTACTGGATCGACATAGGCTTGGTTCATCAGTCGCACCGACGCAATCGATCTTCCCATCGTTAGCTTTTTTAATCGGCAAACATGTCAATTGTTTCGTCTCATTTGAGACACATAGATGATGGTGAATCGGACAGTTTAATAAAGATGATGGATTACAGTCGACTTCGTCGGCGCCATCGGCACAGTTCCAGTGACCATCACAGCGTGTATAACTGTTATCGCACGGCCATTGTTCACATTCTGTTTCATCAGTTTCATTTCTTCCATCGATGACTACCGGCGACAGTTCAATAAAACCATCATATATTGTCTGAAATGAAATATGCCTTCTCTGATGGAGAAGTTCTGGCTCTTCGTCTTCACATAATTCCTCTGAAATTAATAGGCAGTGGCAATGACCATCTTTGACGAACTGATAAGGAATGCATACATTATTTCCTAAACAGTTGAAACAATTTCTCAATGAGTGTTCAAAATGAACATAGTCGTTTGGTAGAAAGATTTCATCATCCTTGTAGTAGCAATCATTAACGCCATCATTGAGACGATGTCTTGAGATGCACTTGGATAAGTTCATACATTTGTACATGTTTTGTCTTTCACAAAGTTTCGAACTATTATTGACCATCGCGTGGCATGCCCAACGTACTCCGACTAAAGGTTTAAGAGGAATCGATGTCCATTTACCGCTAAGTGGTGTAATAAAATGTGAAAGTTTTTTAAGATGATAACATGTGGTGTTCTTAAGCGACGGCAATTCACTAACTGTAAATAATCCATCGCAGAGATTATCATTAACGCATACATATTGAGATTCTATTGGGTAAAAAGGTATATAGAGAAAATCATTTTTTGTATACACAAAGTATAAACCACCAAGCAAACTCGGCTCAGTGGGCATATAAAGTTCTTCCGGACAAGCCTCCTTAATCAATGAATCACAGTTCTGATCTTGACAAAAAGTAAAACAGGATTGATCTTCGATGAAATATGATAAATGAAGAAAGCACTTAAATAGTGACCAGCAAAGATCAGATATCGATTTCGGTTTTAATAACATTTGTTGCATGATAAGTTCATTTCGTCGTGTCATACATGAACTTGTTAAAAGATTCAAATCATCGTATGGTAACTTTGTACATGCTACGTCTTCACAGCCGAATGTTGGTTCAGCAGTGATACAATAATCATATGTTTGATTTCTTTTATCGATTTCATCAGATCCATCGAAACAGTCTGGAATGTCAGGATCATCACGAAAAAATGCGTCCGGAATACATTGTCCATTTTTACACCGATATTCATTTTCTTGACATTCATTAATCTCCAGCTGCCAACAAAGCTCTTCATCTTGTCCACCATCGGTACAATCAATTTTACCATTACAAATTTCACTCCAGTCAAGACACAATGGATCTGGACCACGATTACATTGCAAAATTTTATAACATGTGAATGTAATCGGTTGATACCCGAGCAGATAAGAATTGTGAATAATCTCGTTCAATGATGTATAATGAGGTTCATACTCATCATCGAACGTATATTGACACAATGAACCAAATCTAGACAACGTACAGTTGTAGAAGAGTTGTGTTGCCATTGATGTGTCACACGAAGTCAAAAGTTGATTTAAATATAATTGATAGTTTTCAGCAACATCGATTGGTGCCGACCAAAAATATAATTGTCGACTAGTGATACTTTGTTTTTGAAGCTCCACAAAAGTAAATCTTTGATCATCACTGCTCACCTGAATATTCCATTTCGATGACCATTCACTCGCACAATACGAAATGATTTGATGTGGACCATTTTGACGATCGATGAAGGCATCAGCATAAAGACAATCGTGCTGAAATGTAGTGTCACTCTTGCTGTCATTTAGTTGATTGGTAAGATCAAGATTGATTTGCAACGAAACAATTACAGAGTATAATAGCATTGAATAGATTAGATTCGTAACGAAAAACATTTTCTGTCTTTCTACTAATCTTGAATATGAAAAGAGTTTAGTTGTTTGACATATCATTATTTTCTCTCAGAAGAATCCAATAAAGTGCTTTCTCTAATCAAAACTCATAGTTGAATTGAGAAAAGTTGTTTGCTCTTGTATAGTAGGTATGAGTTTTCTCTCTGTAGCATGAACTTAATCTCATCATTCATTAAGACGTGATAAAAAAATATTTGATTCTGCTTTTACTGTGATTCTATCTAGAGCATGAAAAGTATGATACAAGACTCGCAGAGACTCGGCTGCATTTTGAACAGCTCGACAACAAAAAGAACTGGAGAAGCATACTTTTCCACTAATGGCAGGATGACATTGGTGACGTCAGTCGACATCAGAAATCAAAAATGGATCTTTGTCATTAGTGTGCAAAGGTGAAACGCTCTCGCTCAAGTAGAAGGAGTAGAAACGATGAAAAATCGACGAGTCCGCTGTCGCTTCCTTTTTTTTCTAAAATAAATATCATTTGATTGTCGCGATCGGGCCTAAAGCAGCAAGCCATAGACACTAGTTATCCAAGCAGACAAAAGAATGAAAAAACTCATGAAAATGCTATAGAAACTTCGACCATTTTTGGATGCTAATCATCGTTATCAATTGCCATGCAAAAACATTCAAAAACCCACAGCGTGAAAATAGCCACTTTCTACATGAGGTAAAATTTTTCAGTTTATGCGTTACAAACTCTTAGTCATTTTGATATTTATTTACTATAAAGGTTTCTGATTGATAATCGAGAACCACGATTAGCATCCCACAACGCCCAAATTTTCTATACATTTACATACTCCTTTATTTGTCTTTATTTCCATGTCTTCTCTGATATGTATTTCCAGTGATTTTTTTTGGTCCGTGTAGACGATCCATATAATACTAATAAATGATGTCCAGATAGGTGAATCTGGCTCGCTATCCATTAATCATGCTTACAAATCTATCTAGCAATCAGCCTTCCTACCGATTCAATTACCTACTTAAACCTCTAAACAAAAATCTTTTTCTTTCTCTCTATTAAACTGTATTGCATCTCTTTAGTTCCTGATGAATGTTCATTATAGAATGTCTTAAGTGCTTAATTTCACTATATTTAAGACTGATTAGAATTTGTTTCAACGGAGAATGTATGTATTTCAACACTAAGCAAGTTTCTTGTCAGATTTATTAATGATTTGGCTATGTCTACTTTGGGTCTGCTAATGATTCAACTGTTTTGGACTTATTTAGATCTGTGTCGTTGATTGTACATTGTCAATCAGTCATTGAGTCAGTAGCAAAGAGAGTTTAGTGGGTGAAAAAGCAGTAAGACAGTAAGCAGATCCCTAGCAGAAATAATAAAATCAAGGAAAAATCTTCAAAGTTATTCATTTGTAGTAATAATGAATGGCATTGAAACACGTACATTCGTTATTGAAGCAAATCGTGATGAGTCATATACTATACGAAAATAGACTGTTTAAATCGTTCTTGTAATAAATATTCAGCTGATACTAAACAGATGCAATACAGAAAAAAGCTGTTATCGTAATCCACCTCGATAGTAAAGTGTACAACAAAGTATAGATATTTGTGCTTTAGATAGAAATATGATTTCATCAAATTTGTATTTACGTTGAATTCATTGGCTAATATCTATAACGGTATGTTGAGAGTTGAAACTTTTTCCTCGTTACTTCAAAATTAGTTTTAGATCGTGTTTCACAAAAGAGTCAAGAGAAAAGACTTCTGATCGGAGGTGAACCTAATTATCTATCTATCTAACTATTTACCTATCTACTCTATCATAGTTAAAAAAAAGAAATGAAAAAAAGTTGTCTTGTTCCATTATGGATATAAATATATGATTTTCCTAAGTATGAGTGCTGTATCTGCATCGTTGTTCTCAGGCGCTTTTTCTTCTTTCTTCTATCCTCTATTATCATGAACATTAGTAAATGAGAAAATTTAGTCAAACATGAGGATGATTATGTTCATGAGAAAAACTTATGTGCATATGGTAGTAGTGAATAAACATACATTGGAAGAGAAGTATAATGTAAAGGATGCAGATAGAAAATGGAGGAACATAAGGTGACAGAGGAAAGTCCTGTAAGTTAGTATTGACTGATAGATAGCTGAAGTGTTTGCGATTTTTGCCTCACAATTTTCATTATTTATGTAAATCTGTGATATTAAAACTACGGATATGCAATGTGTTCCATCCCACGGGATCAGAATCGGGACCTAGAATCTTTCAAGCTGGTTGCGATATATTTTTTTTATCAAGAACTAGACTATAGATTCTCATGCTTATAATTTTGTTGTGGCTAAGAGTCTGCAAATAGGCCCTTTTTATTTACAATTCTCATAAAAATCTTACATTGATCTCGATACTAATTTCAAGAATCGAGATTTTCAATGACTTGTATTGGTTTTCAAATAGACGTATTGGTACAATATACATAAGTTTGGTTCGATAATAATTTAACCATTGTTTTCATTTTACATCTTTTTGTTGTTATTTGCCTATTTCTAGTATAAAATCTTAAGTGTTTTTCTTGTACTTCTCTATATCGCAAAAAACAACTTTATTACTATTAAGAAATACGAACTCAATCTAAAATCTTTGGCTTAATCTTACAAGAAATTATTTGTTTTGAGAAAAAAACCGGGATCAGCAACTATAGAAAATTTTAACCTGAATTGAAACCGAAACAAAAAAAGTTGCTCCCGCAGTTGTCTAATTCAAACAAATAAGACTACAAGATAAAAGAATAATTGTTTGCTTCTTTTTCATATAATTTCTTTTTAGAGGAATACGATAACGAATAATTAGCACAGTAAAAAATACGTATGCAGAGAAGAAGGAATCTCTCATTTGGCTTTTATTTTTCTGTGAAATTCTTTTTTTCAAAAGTAACTAAGCTCCTCAAGATCAAGTAATCGATTTATATGAATCCGTTGAACCAAAACTGTCTTATTCTATCGATATAAAGAGAAGAATTTTTTTATTAATTTTTAGTATAAAATTATTATTACCAACAGTGAAAAATTCAGTTTAAAAGAAGTACTAATTCATATATGCAGAGTTTGAAGAAGAATTTTGTGTCTCTTTGATCGTCAGAAATGAGTTCCTTCACGATGGATAATGATTCGACACTTGATTCACGTTTAAAATCTATTTGGCAAACGTATGCATTAGTGTCAGCCAAAGTCAAAATTCAACTTTTATTTATTTCAAATATTTGGTTGTTCATTCGACATCAGTAGTTTTCTAACTTGAATTATGGAATTGCATGTCACACACATGTTCATGTTATCATCAAGATATGAATGAAAAATTTGTCAGTGTGGTCCACTTAGGAGATCGAGAAACAAAGGTCGAAATAGATCAAAGAAATTTTTACAACTTCTATTATGTTTAATAAATAAATCAATATGTTGTATATAATAAAGAATAATAGATGTTTTTATTTTATTTTAGTTTTAACATGGAAATTTTCGATCATTTTGACGATCATTTTCAACCAGATAACAAGACAATAATACATGATGTTACAACAAAAAATAAATAAGAAAAATTAATGAAATAGTGTCTTTATGAATACATCATTAACTTTAACATCATTACCTGTTTAACCTAATATAAATTTTGTATACATTGTAAGTATTGTATAATTTCAAAATAAAATAAAAACATCTATTATTCGTTATAATATACTACATATTGATTTATTTATTAGATATTGATACAAATTTCAAGATTAACCCAAATTCGTTTAAAGTTTTTCGTTACATAAAATTTAAGTAGAATACAAAACTTGAGTGTTATAATTAGGGTTTAAATAGATTATGGATTACATTTTAGTATTACATATGGTATAGGTATAATATATAAATTTAAAATTATACAATACTTACAATTTATACAAAATTTATATTAGGTTAAACAGGTACTGATGTTAAAGCTAATGATGTTAAAGTTAATGATGTATTTATAAAGACACTATTTCATTAATTTTTCTTATTTGTTTTTTGTTGTAACATCATGTATTATTGTCTTGTTATCTGGTTGAAAATGATCGTCAAAATGATCGAAAATTTCCATATTAAAACTAAAATAAAATATAAATATCTATTATTCATCATTATATACTACATATTTATTTATTTATTAGATATTGATACAAATCTCAAGATTAAACAAAATTCGTTTAAAGTTTTTCGTTGTAATATGTTGAGACTGTCATGTCAATTATTTTATGACTTACGCGTTTTTAATCAATAAACTCTAGTAAGTTCATGAATCAGTTTCTTGCTTATTCATCATAGATTCCTACATTCAGGGGCGATAGAATGAATTTTTGGTTGGGGAACTCAAGCGATTTTTGTGATGGGATTCTTTTGTGAGAAAAATATGTTTCTCTGGTACGATTTCAACAGTTAAGGTCACTGTGACACCATCAACAGCTCCTATTCTGTCATCTATGACTACATTTGACTAAAAATCTCTCAGAAGATAGTCAACTTTATCGGGATTCTTTGCAGCTTTGTGAAAGGATGAGGTATGGATGTGGGTTTGTATATTCTGAGGGTGGGTGTGGGTGTGGAAGTAGATGAAGAGAAGAGCTAAACTCGCACTCACACCCACGCACACCCTTGTAACTCATGTTTTCTTGTTTACTGCATTTTCTTCTAAAGAATTTTTGGTGTCTTTTGTGTTATAATTGACACAAAAGATAATATGTAATTGCACAAACGATCTGAAATATCTTCATATATTTTGCTATAAAAAAAGCTTGTTAAAAACATTCTTTCAACAAATTCTTTAGGTTTTAGAAGATGGTGTGGGTGTGGGCGTGGGTGTGGGTGCGGGTTTAGCTCTTCTCTTCATCTACACCCACACCCACACCCAACTGAGTTTTTTGATAGATATTCATTTGAACACAATAGAAGATCAAAATCATCATGTCATTGAAGTACTCCAAAAATTTCAAGTTTGTTTTGCTGATGTTATTCATAATATGACAAAAACTGAAAGAATTAGTCATAAAAAAAAGCTTCTTTGTTCAATCATGTAATCATTATATTTTAATCTATAATAACGCGTACAGCAAAATGTTTTGGAAAACATGTGATGCGTTGAATGAACCCACCCGAATTGTCTGCTTCTGTACCTGGATCTAAGAATGTTATACGCTGCATTAAGCGTGTAACAATTGTTCTTAATTCCAGAAAAGCAAGATCTTGACCAGCACAAGCACGATGACCTGCACCAAATGTCAAAAAGGCGCAATGAGGTGGATTTTTATCTTCATTAAGAAAACGTTCTGGTATAAATTGTGATGGATCGACTTTCCAATAAGGAGGATCTCGATGTAGATTCGAAAGAGCAATTATAATATTATCACCCTTTTTAATTTCAATACCATCTATTGTAGTGTCACATGTAGCTTGACGTGTGACAGCCACAGTAATTGGTGCAAAACGAAGAACTTCTCTTACCACACATTCAACATAGACTAATGAATCGAGTACATCTGATGTGAGTGGTGTATCAGATGTTAAATTGTGTTCAGCTAGCCCTTTTTTGAGATTTTTCTGGTTGTCTGGATACTTCGACATATAGAAAATGGATCAAGAAAGAGCAGTTGAAGTTGTTTCAAAGCCGGCCAATGTTAATAGAGATACTTCGTCGAATACTTCGGTCGAACGCAGTGATGCTTCTCCTGTGAATGATTTTACGTTGGCACCTGCGAGAAGTGAAGCAATTAGATTTCTCGACTTGTTCGACGAGATTACTTGTTGTCGCACCTGTTCCTCAGTAATCATATTCATCATGTAGTGTCTTACAGTACGTAATGCTCGCTGATATTTTCAACTTAATCTCAACATTAATTTGTCGATCGGTATTGAAATTCCAAGCGATAAGACAAAAACTGGTTACGAATACGAACGAAATCATTGAAAGCATCTCGGAGATCATAATTACCAGGTTTTGAAGAAGCTTCGAGATCATAATCAAAGGCAATAAAGGCTATAATATTGAAAAGTCGTTGACATTTTTCAAAGAGATCTTTATGGATTTCTCCATCTTGTTTTTCTAACTGTTCGTTGATGAATTGATCTGTGCAAGTAACAACTGTGTCGATATACGGCAAAACTTTAGCTCGTTTCAACATAGGTAACATAAATCGCGCGTGACGCTTCCAATCATCTCCTCGCAATGCAATTATACCACTCGGGAAAAGAACGCCATAGCTACGTCTCGTGGTCTCTGGAATATCAAATGTATGTCGAGCTGCAAAGACCTGCTGAACGTGCTCAATGCGCGAGAGTACTATTGAATAATTGGGCCCAAGCTAGAATGAGGAGACATCGCCATATCTATCTTTTAGTGCAGAGAGAGCTTCATGAAATGCCAGATTACCAGACATGATACCGGTATTACGTAAGTTACAAAAAATAAACTGTGGTTCGGGTCCAGGTAATCTCCGAACATGCTTTTTGTTGCAATATTTCAAATACCAATAGGCAGTAAAAAGAAATATTATCCGAAGGAGCAGAGTAGAGATGAGCATTAAGGTATTGATTTCACGCTTTCATAAATAGAATAAAAAAATAGTGCTTAGTTTTATCATGTTATATAGATAGGAGAACGAAAAGAAAGAGCTGAACTGCATAAAAAAAAACACTGTCTACACATGTGTTCGATCGAAAAGGATTATTATTGAAAAATCAGGGCACGTTGTACACATAAATACTGTATATATTCACAAAGAGTAAACCAGAAAAAGAAGCTTATGACATAGAAATTATAGAAGGACTAGATAAGATGAAGAATCATCTACATAGATTTCTATTTGTCTCTTTAATTACAGTGGTAAACAACCCAGATCGAAACATTTGAAATAAGATCCTAGAATATGGACAAAATCTTATAAGAATCTGAAAAAAAAATCGTTGTCTCAGAAATCTTACATCAGATCATACTACATTTTCTTTAAAAGAACTTATATGAATGTTATTTTCACTGATAAATTGCAGTGATACTTTATACATAGGCGAATCGTTCAAGGATCTTCGAACATGATTTTGTGTAAGGAATTAGAGACGACGATTTTGTGTACTGTTTTTCACTTGATCTTATCAGATCAACTATGATCAGATGCACCATTCTTATAAGATCTTGCCGTTCGATTTTTCGACCGTTCGACAGGTATAAAAAATTTTGTTGAATGAGGACAAGCGTACTTTTTATTTTGTCATTGCTCATGTAGAATGATTAATGATAGCGAAAAAGGAAGTGACTTGTAATGTTTTTCTTCCCTTTCGGATTGTTCATATTCTTTACAAAACAAGTAACATAGATGACTCTAGTCAACGCTATACAGTTGTTTTCTAAACATTCTGAAAGATAATACTAATTTTTAATGATTTGGCATAGTCACGTTTACATTGTACGGACTAGTGTGCATGTTCATGTCATAATAAAAATAATAGCCTCAAGAAAGTACAAATGCGCTTATTCAGATTCATATCCATGTATGCATAATTACGGAAGTCCGATCTGTAATTCTCAAAAAAAAACACATTACTGGTCAAATCATTATCCAATACTATTGATTTACTAACAGTTTCCCAATTACGTAGTCTGATACAATATAATTCATGTGTGGAGAGAATCGTATAATAATATACTTAATACATATGTGTATCCAATTATTGACTACAAAAATTATTGTTCAGCAACAAAAAATTTGTAAGCCAAACAAGTGTATCGACATATCATGGCAGAGCAACTTGACCTATAGGTGCATTACTTTCCATAAGAGATAATCTTGATGTTAAAAGAAGAGCAGATGGGAATTTTTCATAGGTTCGAATAAAACTTGTGAAATTTTTTTAGAAGGAAAAGAAAACCAACAATTCCATAAATAGAATTACAAAAGTTAACTTTTTAAAGCAGATTGTTTGCATAGAAAATAATAATTAAACGTAATTGAAAATTCAGTTTTCATGGAAAAATACAACTCCTCGTAAATAGCGACTCAATGATTCTATTGATACTCAAAAATGTACAACCTATCTATCTAATGTGGGCGTGTAACTCAGCGGTAGAGTGTTCGCTTTGCATGCGAAAAGTCTTGGGTTCAAACCCCAACTCGTCCAATTTTTTTTTTAAACCGATGTAAAAAAAAATATTTGATTTCAACAAGTCTGTTTGTTTTTCGTATGGTATTCCAAACAAGAGTGGCCAAGAGGCCATGATTTCCTTTTTGAAGAAAAAAACCATTGAATTCGTGAAGCCACATCGGTAAAAATACTGCTGATTTGAGTTCGTCTGTGTAGTGCAAAATGAGAATTCTATGTCTAATAATTTCCTGTTTCATTTCCGATCGATTTTTTAAAACATTTTTTCACAAATGATTTGGTACGCATGCATTAAGATACAGCCTGGTGTACTATAGTAACTAAAAGAACGTATAGACAGGCCATCATAGAGGTTTCCGATTTCAATTATCAATGCATCCAGACTTTGAACTAGCATCTATTATCTTTAGTGCACTGAGTATCAAGTTATATATCAACATGTCATTGCTCTTTTCTTTAGTACTTAATTAATAAAGTAATAATAAGGATAGATTCTAGATCGTTAGGATTAGTGTCAAGCATGTGATTATTTAAAGATTCATGCAATTATTTTCAGCATTTAAACACATTTTTCAATGTCTATCAATTATAAAAACTGACGATTTAGAATAACCACCATTTCATATTTGAATTGAGTTAACATACTATATCAAACTATGATACAACATTCTGATCTTATCAGTAAGAGAACTAACAATCAGTTTGTTGAAAACCGAATAGAACTAGTTCTGAGCCATATTCTGTTCACAATTGTATTTATATTTATGAATCGATTCAATGATTTGTCTTAGGTTTTTTGTTTTTGTAAGAACAACGATAAAAGATATTGAGAAAACTATGATCTAAAAGATAAAAAAAAATAGACAGAACAAACAGTAATCTTATTGTCTGACGCATAAATTTATAAATTAATACCATTGATTAAGAAAAGTAAATATAAACCTAATGAATGGTTAGGTAATTATTGTCAGTGGTAAAATTTATGTTGATTTTTCCAAATTTGAATTTAATTCATTAAATATTCAAAATCATCACAAACACACTCGCATTGTGTATTCTAAGTATTTTTTTAAAAAATAATGAAGAATTTATACAATTGCGATCAGCTTCCTTCTTTACATACATATTGGAACATCCGAATAATAAAATTTATAAGAAAGAAAATTGCGATTTGTTCAAACTGGTTCGAAGCCGAGTTTTCAACAAACTGATTGTTAG